AATATACGACCCAATCAAAAAGTGGGCTAAAGAACTAAACAGACATTTCTCCAAAGAAGACATACTGATGGCTAACAGACACATGAAAAGATGCTCAAAATCACTCATTATGAGAAATGCAAATCAAACCACAATGAGGTACCATTTCACGCCAGTCAGAATGGCTGCTATCCAACAGTCTACAAACAATAAATTCTGGAAAGGGTGTGGAGAAAAGGGAATCCTCTTACACTGTTGGTGGGAATGCAAACTAGTACAGCCACTATGGAGAACAGTGTGGAGATTCCTTTAAAAATCTGGAAATAGAACTGCCATATGACCCAGCAATCCCACTGTTGGGCATACACACTGAGGAAACTGGAATTTAAAGACACAGGTGTACCCCAATGTTCATCACAGCACTGTTTATAATAGCCAGGACATGGACGTAACCTAGATGTCCATCAGCAGATGAATGGATAAGAAAGCTGTGGTACATATACACAATGGAATATTACTCAGCCATTAAAAAGAATGCATTTGAATCAGTTTTAATGAGGTGGATGAAACTGAAGCCTATTATACAGAGTGAAGTAAGCCAGAAAGAATAACACCAATATAGTATACAAATGCATATATATGGAATTTAGAAAGATGGTAATGATAACCCTGTATGCAAGACAGCAAAAGAGACACAGATGTACTAAACAGTCTTTTGGACTCTGGGAAAGGGCAAGGTCTGGAGGATATGGGAGAATGGCATTAAAACATGTAAATTATCATATGTGAAATGGATTGCCAGTCCAGGTTCGATGCATGATACATTGTGCTCTGGGCTGTTGCACTGGGGTGACCCACAGGGATGGAATGGGAAAGGAGGAAGGAGGGGTTTCAGGATGGGGAATGCAGGCATACCCGTGGCTGATTCATGTCAGTGTATGACAAAACCACTACAGTATTATAAAGTAATTAGCCTCCTATTAAAATGAATAAATTTATAAAACATTTTAAAAAAGAGCAGAGAACCTGAATATATATTTTTTCCAAAAAAGACATACAGATGGCCAACAGACGCATGAAAGGATGCTCAATATCACACATAATCATGAAAATGGAAATCAAACTCACACTGAGATACCACCGTACACCTGTCACAATGACTATTATCAAAAAATACAAGAAATACACTGTTGACGGGAATGTAAATTGATACAGCAACTATGGAAGATGGTATGGAGATTCCTTAGAAAACTAGGAATAAAACCACCATATGACCCAGCAATCCCACTCCTAGGCATATACCCTGAGGAAACCAAAATTGAAAGAGACACATGTATCCCATTGTTCATTGCAGCACTATTTACAATAGCTAGGACATGGAAACAACCTAGATGTCCATCGACAGATGAATGGATAAAGAAGTTGTGGTACATATACACAATGGAATATTACTCAGCCATAAAAAGGAACACATTTGATTCATTTCTAATGAGGTGGATGAACCTAGAACATATTACACAGAGTGAAGTGAGTCAGAAAGAGAAACAACATATTCTAACACATATATATGGAATCTAGAAAAATGGTACTGAAGAATTTATTTAAGGGCAACAGTGGAGAAACATACATAGAGAATAGACTTATGGACATGGGGAGAGGGGAGGAGAGGGTGAAATAAATGGAAAGAGTAACATGGAAACTTACACTACCATATGTAAAATAGATAGCCAGCAGAAATTTGCTGTATAGCTCAGGAAACTCAAACAGGGGTGCTGTATCAACCTAGAGGGGTGGGATGGGGAGGGAGATGGAAGGGAGTTTCAAAAGGGAGGGGATACATGTATACCTATGGCTGATTCATGTTGAGGTTTTACAGAAAACAGCAAATTCTGTAAAGCAATTATCCTTCAATAAAAAATAAATTAATTAAAAAAAAGTCAAGGAGGTGATATGAATGTTTCCCCCTACTGGGTCAGGAGAAGCCCCCTCTCCGAAAGGCAGAGATAGGAGGCTCTTTTTTCTCCTGGACTTCAGTTGCTGAAGGAAACCACTTGACCTTGATTTGTGGATAAATTTCCTCAAGAGCTAGCCTTGTGCCTTCCTCTAACTTTTGTATGACTCACAGCTTTGTATCTGCCTCCTCTCAACTATGGTGTTTATTTCAAGACTTTGGCCTTCTTAGAAATAACCTCAAAAGAAGAAGATAATTATCTGACTGAATGAGATAATTACATGTTAATGACTGATTGACTCTTCAGGTTAAAGATCTGTGGTTTCCTTGCACAGCATACAGTTGACATAATCTGGAGTCAGAAGCACTGGGTTTCATCTTTCAAGCCTTAACATTTCAGCCTAGTCCTTTTAACTCTATGACTCAGTCTCTGTAACTGTATGGAAATGCCCTGTGTATTCCATGCAACTCCAGTGATGTTCATATATTTTGAAATATATTTTCATATATTTCATATATTTTGAAATTTTTCTAAAATATCCTATTTTCAGTGAAAAAAATTTAGGCTACAATTTGAGATTTAAGGGATAGCAGGATATAGCTACTGCTTCAGGAAAGACAGACCATGAAACCTTTTATATTTTGTTTGCAAAGGTCATTGCATCATTTGTATGATGCCACATTTAGTGTTTTGTGTCTGTAAATTTCAAGACACCTTCATTGTAATGTTTTCTACACATCGTGTCATCAAGCATCTGATCAGGTTCACAAGCTTAGTGACTGAGTGGTAGCTGAAGGAGACGACAAGAAGCTTCCATTTTAATCATCAACATTTGGGCTCAGATGTATGATCAGAATGAGAGTGCAGTAGTCTGGACATGTAATCAGAAATACAGCTCCAAAACTCAGTGTCAATCCTGAGGATAAGAAGGGAACCTCTGTGTTCAAAATTTTAGCAATCTCTGTGTCGGAAGAGAAATCCTTATTAGACATTTGGGGTTTTGTTGCTGAAGGGTTAGATAAAAATCCAGGACATGAAGGATACCTGCCTTGCTTCCTTTGATTGCGAAAAAGGGTGACATTTACTTTGAATGCTATAAATTGAAACATTAAGTCGTGATACTACACAAGCACATTCCTTATAGCACTGCAATTGTTCAGTCAAAGGATATGAGAAGAAAGGATTTCCTTGATGTTTGCAAAGCAAGTGTTTAGTTACTACGAAACAAAGGAAAATATGTACATTAGTCTAACTATGAGGATTTAGAAACTCAAACTGTGTTTTTTCTGAAATTTGTATTTAGTGAAAGAAATTGTTCTTTCTTTTGAAAGGGGGAGTTTGGAGGGGGAAAAATGGATCTTTATATTTGCTTTTAGAGTCATTGTCCTGATATTCTGAGTTAAAATCTCACTGTCACAGAATGTGTACACTAAATGTTCCCTCTTGTGAAAAATAAAATACCAGCTAAGGCACAGGTGACATGAAAGAAAAGTGCTGACGGAGAAAGAAAAATGGTCACCAAAGGTGGCTTCCCAGGTTGCTCAGTGGTAAAGAAGCCACCTGCTAATGCAGAAGACCTGGGTTCAATCCTTGGGTTGGGAAGAAACTCTGGAGAAGGAAATGGCAACCCACTCCAGTATTCTTGCCTGGGAAATCCCACGGACAGAAGGAGACTGGCGGGCTACAGTCCATGGGGCATATGTCATTCGAGTCAGAAAAGGAGAGTCTATATGGGCTTGTTTTTAAAACCTTGGAAAACCTTAAAGAGGAGGCTTGTGTATAGGGCCAGAATTAAAAGGAAAAACACACAGAAAAACAGGAGAGAGTCACTCCTGCCCTTCAAATGGGAATATATTGTTTTGAAGGGGTCACAAAAGCAATTTGAGTAACTTGGAAACAGATGTTTACCTGACTTCTTTCAATATATTTTGAAACAATGCCATGTTTATTAAATAACATGTGTCCAAATGAAGAGAGTGTTGTGCTATTATGTGTAAAAAAATGCCCAAAACAAAAGGAAAGGCACAGGAATTAATCATCCAAGTTTTCAGGTGAATAAAAAATCAATGTTCCACATAGTCAGTGAATGTTAAACTTGAAAACAAAGCACTGCAGGCAATTTATATTTAAAGACAGACATGAAATATTTAACTTCAAATAACTAAGTGTATGTATATATTGATGAGGGCTTCCCAGGTGGCACTAGTGGTAAAGAAACTGCCTGCCAATGCAGGAGACACAAGAGACACCGGTTTGATCCCTGGGTTGGGAAGATACCCTGGAGATGGGCATGGTAACCCATGCCAGTATTCTTGCCTGGACAAGAATTCCATGGGTAGGGGAGCCTGGTGGGCTACCGTCCATGGGATTGTAAAGAGTCGGACATGACTGAGTCACTAACACTTTCACACCAACTAAAGTAACATTTTGATGTCTCTGTGGAAATGACGTAGTCACAAGCCCATGTCTCAGCACTGATATTTATGTATTTCAATAGCTAGGTCTTTTCTCTTACTGATATTTTAGAAGCTCAGTTAATTTAAAAACATAAATGTAAGTTGCTTTTAATAATTTTTATAAACCAATGGAGTAGATTTTTCCTTTGAAATCATTTTTTTCCCTTTGGAATTGGATCTGTAAACTAATGAGTAAATACAAAGGGGTGCACAGATAGAATGGATCTTATACTCTTTAATTTTTTCCCTAAAGGAGAACAACGTGCTGAGACATGGGCTTGTGACTGATATAGAACACACTGATGACAAACCTAGAATTAAATCACCTTTATTGCTAAAAGTTTATTTGACAGTGTTAGGCACAGAACATCAATGTTAATAACGAAAAGAGCTGAAAGCTTGATGCTTATAATTTGAGAATTGCTGATTATAATCACAAACTCTTTAGGTTTTATATGGGCTTTAACACATAGGATGTCTTGCACTGAAAAAATGTGCTAAGATAAACAAGATGTACCCACTTCAACTACAATTTTTAAAATAATGTGCTTCAGTGTGGCTGATGTTGCACTTGTATCATACAACTTGGGTTCAAGCTCTTTCTCCAAAGCCCTCAGAATAACAGGGACAGAAAAAACTTTTGAAGCATTTGCAGTTCATTATGCAGCTGTTTCAGGAAAGGAAAGAAATATTAAACATCTGCATATTATTTAAGTAATTGTTATATATACTTCATTAAAAAAATAGCCCAATGCTCACATCCCTCTGTAGTTCTCAATATTAAATACACATTACTTACAGCTTCAACGATAATTTTGTCTTGCAGAATGGCCATTTCTTGTCTAATTTCACTTTGCTCATCACTCAGAAAATGCTCATGATCCTTTTCTAACACCTCCATACACTAAAAGAGAAAGTCTAGTTCAGTGAGAAAGCACCACTTTTCATCTCACATTCTAAATGGATACAATTAAAGTTCAAAAGCAATAACACTTAATATTCAAAGGATGCTCACTATTTATTCCAAATAAAAATACTGTAACAAATACATGGAGATCGAAATATTCACTTAAGATATCTTCTAAATGCCGACTTGAGTCAAATTGTATTATTACAGTGGTACAGTCACCTTACCCTTTGCTCAAAACAATAACTTAAGGAAGAGTAAAGGTCAAGGGGGAGCAAAAACAAACAGACTGATGGTCCCACGGAATGAAATACCAGAATTTAAAAACCCTCTAATGAGCTTTCTAAACAATAAGTAACAATGCATGTATAGAGACTAATAATGAGTGCAACATGGCTCCACTGGAAGGAATAGAATGAGCTCTACTATGACCTCGCTACATGATGAAAAACAAATTTAAGTTCTAAATCTTTACCATTCATTCAACAAATATTGACCAAGTGCATTCTATCTAAAAGTAAGAGTAGTCCTCCTTCCATCCTATCTAAAGCAAACGACAACAAAAAAACAAACAAACAAACAAAAACTAAGGAGAGGTTGTAGGCCCAGCTGTGGTTTTCTATACATATTTTTAAAATTAAAAAACAAAAGACAAAAACATTATAACAATTCAGGAAGCACATTCTGCCATGATTATGTAGTGGAAAACAGGACTGATTCTGACTTTGTTGGCAAAAGAATAAGATGTCAATTAGTAAAAGAAGGAGGGAATCAAACTTATTGTAGGCGAGGAGCAGATGCAAAGCAAGGAGGTAATGGTGACTTAGTGCAGAGAAAGCAACAAATCTGGACAGGTGGGAGGAGACAAAGAATGTATGTGGGAAACCACAAAGGCAGAAGGGATCTTGTTATGGGGGACATGTTGAACACCTGAAACTTCAAACTCGGAAGCTATAATGACAGGATTGCAGGAGGGAAGGGATAAGTTTTGGAGGATCATTATTACAGAAGTGTGAAGGATGGATTGGAGAGGAGAGAAGTCAGGCAAGAGTTTAATAGAACAAGCAAGGGATGATGAGGCACTGAACCAGGTAGGGCAGCAGCAGTGGGAATTCAAAGGAAGAAATGAAGTAGGTGCAAACTACTGTACTATACATAAAACAGACAAAGAACACAGGATTTACTATGTAACATAGGGAACTATATTCACTATCTTATAATAAGCTACAATGGAAAATGATTGAAATATATATATATATGTATGTATATATTTAGAAACATATGTGTGTGTGTGTGTGTGTATATATATATATATATATATGAACTCTATATATGTATGTATCAGTTCAGTTCAGTTCAGTTCAGTCGCTCAGTTGTGTCGGACTCCTTAAGACCCCATGAACTGCAGCACGGCAGGCCTTCTTGCCCATTACCAACTCCCGGAGCCCACCCCAACCCATGTCCATTGAGTCGGTGATGCTATCCAACCATCTCATCCTGAGTTGTCCCCTTCTCCTCCTGCCATAATCTTTCCCAGCATCAGGGACTTTTCAAATGAATCAGCTCTTCACATCAGGTGGCCAAAGTATTGGAGTTTCAGCTTCAACATCAGTCCTTCCAATGAACACCCAGGATTGATCTCCTTTAGGATGGACTGGTTGGATCTCCTTGTAGTCCTAGGGACTCTCAAGAGTCTTCTCCAACACCACAGTTCAAAAGCATCAATTCTTTACCTCTCAGCTTTCTTTATAGTCCAACTCTCACATCCATACATGACCACTGGAAAAACCATAGACTTGACTAGATGGACCTTTGTTGGCAAAGTAATGTCTCTGCTTTTAAATATGCTGTCTAGGTTGGTCATAATTTTCCTTCCAAAGAGTAAGCATCTTTTAATTTCATGGCTACAGTAACCATCTGCAGTGATTTTGGAGCCCAGAAAAATAAAGTCAGCCACTGTTTCCACTGTTTCTCCATCTATTTGACATGAAGTGATGGGACCAGATGCCATGATCTTAGTTTTCTGAATGTTGAGCTTTAAGCCAACTTTTTCACTCTCCTCTTTCACTTTCATCAAGAAGCTGTTTAGTTCTTCTTCACTTTATGCCATAAGGGTGGTGTCATCTGCATTTCTGAGGTTATTGGTATTTCTCCCATCAATCTTTATTCCAGCTTGTGCTTCCTCCAGCCCAGTGTTTCTCATGATGTACTCTGCATATAAGTTAAATAAGCAGGGTGACAAATATAGCCTTGACATACTCCTTTTCCTATTTGGAACCAATCTGTTGTTCCATGTCCAGTTCTAACTGTTGCTTCCTGACCTGCATACAGATTTCTCAAGAGGCAGGTCAGGTGGTTTGGTATTCCCATCTCTTTCAGAATTTTCCACAGTTTATTGTGATCCACAGAGTCAAAGGCTTTGGTATACTCAATAAAGTAGAAATAGATATTTTTCTGGAATATGTATCTAAATATATATGTATGTATATGATCTACATATACACCCAAGCCAGGGTTCAATAGTACATGAACCATGAACTTCCAGATGTTCAAGCTGGATTTAGAAAAGGCAGAGGAACCAGAGATCAAATTGCCAGGATCTGCTGGATCATCAAAAAAGGGAGAGAGTAAAAAAAAAAAATCTACTTCTGCTCTATTGACTATGCCAAAGCCTTTGACTGTGTGGATCACAACAAAGTGTGAAAAATACACATGTATGTATATATATGCATAACGAATCAGGTTGCTGTATACCAAAAACTAAACACAATGTTGTAAACCAAACAGACTTCAATTTTCTAAAATGAAAGAAATTGCAGATGCAGAGCTAAAAATTGCAGAGCCCAGTAATTGCTGGGTGGGAAGGACAAGGGACTTGGAGGTGTCAAAGATAACACTGAAGTTAGTACCATAAATGCTGACATTTAGCAATGTCCTTCAGAAGCAATCTTCTTTGGTACTTTATCAAATCTTCACACTGATTAGTGGCACATTGTTCTCAGGGAACATTAGAGCTACACCTTGCCTACTTAGAAACATGTTCAAGATAACTTTTGCACATATATGATTCTAAAGCTCTTTAAAGATTATCTATTTAAAAGCCTTTTACTAGTTTACTTAAGCCATCTCAATTAGTTTAAAAAAAGTGACACATTAACATCTTGTATTTGGACAAGATGGTCACTCAAAAGAGCACTTCTGCTTCCTCTCCAAGGAAAAAGAAGGGGAATGTGCAGGGTTCCATCAACTCCTGAGTAAGTATGCACATATATATATGAAGAAAGGGACAACAGGCACTGAGGACAGTTTGCTAATGTGCAAATATCACAGCAAATCACTCTCAATCCACAAACATGTAGTCCTCTTCTGGGTTTTTCATTCAGTTATACACTTTGACTTTCTCATGTGATTATAAATTTGCATATAAAGTCACTATTAGTTACTCATATTCTAAAAGCAAATACACCATAAATGCTCATACAATGCATTTGAAAACAGAAAAGGTCTTCACTAATTACAACTGCCTGACTTTATATGCAGCAGCAACTGTTAATAGGAGAAAGGTAAAAGACACCTATAGATGATTTATTAAATTCCTAAATTTCCAGTATATATTTGTCCTTGGCTGATCACCTAAATACAATTGCTGAACAAAATAGTTATGATAAAAAGGTTAATCAAGTACCAGTTTTCTGCACCATGTATATACATCTAGATTAAATTCCCAGTTTGCAGTTCCCCATTTTAAATGATTCCCACAAAACTATAGGCATCCCTGATGGCTCAGATGGTAAAGAATCTGCCTGCAATGTGGGAGACCTGGGCTTGATCCCTGGGTCAGGAAGATCCCCTGGAGAAGGGAGTGGCAATCGACTCCAGTATTCTTGCCTGGAGAATTCCATGGACAGAGGCTACAGTCCACAGGATTGCAAAGAGTCAGACATGACTGAGTGACTAACACTTTCACTTTCACAAAAGTATAAAGAAATCCTAAAACTAAAAACACATTTACCAATTAGGCTGTATTCAGACCAATGAATTAAAAATGGAGAATGTTTAACAAGTTAAAGGCAGGCACAACCTACAGTGTTTTTTTGCCCCCATAAGTTTGGATAAACACAGACTATCTTCTACTTTTATATGCATATTGTTTTTATGAGAATGTACTGTGCTACCAAATACAACAGACCTTCAGGAATTGCTTGTATGAATTTTTAATTTTTTTCAGCCTCTGGCTCTGAAGAAGTCTAGCTTGTTGAAGAACATTTCATTGCTCTCGAAACATGTGCTACAAATATAAAAGAAAAAAGTAAAATGTGGGCAACGTTTAATATTTGGAAAGCAGGTTTATACATTAAGTTTTAAAGGAACTCTCTCTAACTCAATGCTTGTTAACATTTCCTGTTTTGACAACTTTGATGACCAAGTTGAAGTAACTGTGTTCACGACTACAAGACAGAAACCATGTAATAATCCTACCCTATCAGTCACTGAGTAGGAGATATTCTTTCTTAACAATCTTCAAAACATGTCATTCTTGAGGTCAAAATCCACAAATGACCCTTCCAATAATGTGTTTACCACAGGTAGGCAAAATCTACAAAGTAATCCTTCTTAACAGTAATTGCTGAGGAACTATTCTTTCTTAACAATACTCAAAATATATATTAATTCTTGTCCCCTTCAATATGCACATAGATGATCCTTCCAATAGCTGGCCTTTCCGTTCTTTGACCTAAACTCCAACAATAAACTTACCCTCTTCTTTACATTAGCCACTCACTTATATAGTCATACCCCATAGTCACGGGATTCAGTCATTCCCAAGAACTGCCCGGGCTACATGATATTAATTAGAGCAAAGACTTATACAGCATCTACGGGTCAGGTATGGCTCCAGTGACTTTAATAAACTTCTTCTATATGATCTCATTTTTTTATTCCTCAAAAAGTCTCTATGAGTACGCACTCTCACTGTGTTCCCTTTCATAGATGAG